TATCAAATTTTTTGTTGGATTTAATTGTTAATATTTATATAACAGTCAAACCAAGTAATCTCATTTATTCTATTCCTTTTTTTCTCTCTTCAAATATAACAAATGATATTTTTGAATATCGTTTTATATCAATCGATATTACGTTCAAATCATTGATTGCAAATATGATCCAAATAAGACATTCAATATCGGGTATGATATTCCGACTTTGTTTCTCCGTGTACGGTCCGCCATATTGTTAATGTATCTATTGTAAATCTTTGTATGTACTGTAAAATGTATCTTTGCTTGGAGAGGCGACATATCTTAAGTTAATAGTGTTCTTAAATACATGAAAAAAAAAAAAGAAAAAAAAACAAGAAAGAAGAACGTGCGATCTGTTCCTCGCGACAAACTTGCGTTAAATGTCCTTAAAACAATTTCGAAAAAAAAAATTCAAATTTGAATGGTATTTCTTTTTTCTGTTTTTTTTTTATTTGATTTTGGAAACTATAAAATAATGATTAGGGGTAGATTTGTAGAGAAAATATAAAAGATAAAGGATCGGGCGCGAGCAGGTCGCGAGGATTGGCCACATACATTTATGTACACATATACATAATAATATATTGTATAAGTAATTGCAATTATTATGGAATCATTATATGCGATATTGAAATTTGTATATCATGAAGGAATTAAAAATGGGAAAATATCCTGAATACGAAAGTAAATGGAAATTTTGTTGATTCTAATTAGAAATTAAAAGAAGTAAAATAAGAAAAAGAAAAAGAAGAAGAAGCAAAATAAAAAAAAACAACTAAAAAAGAAGAGAACAAGGGATAAATGAACAATCGAAGTGTTCTCTTCGATATTTGTCAAACGATTCCCTCGTGAACAACACATGTTGTCTGTCGGTACGCGTCCTTTCCCCTCGGTGTATTTTCAGTAGAAACAAAGTTTTTATCATTTTTCTGATCCCTTTTTTTCATTCTCCCAACAGTTTTTAAACTTACAATAAGACAAATATTTAACCGCGGTAAATGTGAAGAGAGAATTAACTATCTACGAACGTGAGATCAACTAACCGCACATTTTCAAATCATGTAAAACATCAATTTCATTCTTTTTTAATTTTTTTTTTTAATTATTTCTAGTCGTTAACTCTAATGTATATACATATATTGAAAAAGTATTTTCATTATTATGATACAACATTTTTGTAGAATTCCTGAACGAACGTAAACTTTGAAGATGGAATTAATATTATAAATGGTAAAAAGGATGGTAGTGTGTGTAGTGTAGATAGTATACAAAAATCAATAAAAATAATCGCTATAGAGAGAAAACGGTAAAAAAAATATACAAAATCAACTTTTATTCGTTCTCCACGCAGCGGGAAATAATTCAACGAATTTTAATACAAACTCTACGAACCTGTATTTCGCGGAACGACCGAGCTCGGATTAACGTGGAATTTTTTAATTTACATCCCCTACATACATTTTTTTATCATCGTTCGTTATATACATTTCAATCGACTTATTTCTTGTTTTCCCAAATTTATTTTTTATTTTCTTCTTATTTTTTTTTTAACTTTTCATCTAAATTCATAAATTAATAAAAATTTTATTAACCATTTTATTTGTACAAAATGAAAACAAACTGTGTGAAATCTCTCCTTTTTTTTTTTTTGGTTTCTTTCCATGCATTTACCTTTTACGATTGCTTAGCAAAATAATTGCTTGAGAACAACCGCATTTTTATTTCAAAATAGCATAAATTCGTGCATCGATATTTTACTTTTAATACGCACTTTTGTGAATTGCACGAGCTCTATATTCTAACTATTCTAACTATAATCAATTTTGATACCTTTTCAGCACCCTTCTATCGCAAGAACCGAACTTACTACAAGATTTTCCAATACCAAAGAACGAAAAAGAATTGTTTAACGTGCAATCCAAGGTTATTCTTATAGGTTAGTAGTTAAATTTGTAAAAAAACACACGCGTATTACGTTAAATGTATTACGTTAAAAATATTTTTCACGTCGCGCAACTTCGGAATGAGATTGTAATAATAATTTTTATATTTTTCATACATGACCTTTTAACTCAAGGCACAGCAAGAAACATCTTAATATATATAAATTACGTGTCACGTTGTTTGTCCGCAATGAACTCCTAAACTACTGAATCGATTTTAATAAAATTTTGTACACTGTATGCAGTTTCATCCAACTTGAAAGATAGGATAGTTTATATCTCAATTTAT